TTCACCCGATTCCGATCCGGACCGCCGATTCTCCGATCCGGATAGCCGATTCGCCGATCGGGATAGGTTTTTGAAAAGCCCGATCCGGATCACCGATCCGGTTTTTAAACCATTGGTTGTAAGTAATTGTGATCACCTTATATCGAAGGTAAATAGTCTCATTGTAAACATTTCTATATTCTTTTTGGGGTTTGACAATTGTTCTTTTAAAAGCTTGACTTATTGTAAATCTAACCGAAACCTCTAGCTGCCCAAAAGTGCGAACTTGGGAACAATCTCCTGGTTTTACTTACCCAGTAGCATATGCAAAAGTAGCAGCTCGAACTTTATTGATCAGATATTCAAAAGTTATAGGTCCCGTATTTTGAATCATAATTACTGGACTTACTCAAGATAGCAAACGACATTCTACTCCTTCAGGTGTATACTATCTATTTACCGTCGGGTTAACCCCAAGGGTTAATTTTAGACCCCCAAATTTTAGCCCAGATTAATCTCTTAAAAATCTATTTTTAAGATAGATTCTTGAATCCAATTTTTAAAAGCATCTAATATCTAACATAGAGATCATGAATATGAAATAATAAATAAATTTTAAAAATAAATTCATAATTTTATGAAATGATCGCTTTAGGATCGTTGGTTTTAATTGTTTCTAGATGAAACACCCAAGATTGATGCTTTATAATGCAAAGGAGCAAATGTAGAAATGCAAGACGATACGCATGAAACAATTTTCCAAAAACCAATGCCCCAATAAAAACCCGTCCAATTTTTAGAATGTAATATTTACATACTACAGAACTCATAAAACTAAAGAAATAACATACTTCTCAAAAAATTTGGCTTCACAACTATTTTATGAAATTTACCCTTCAACCTCATTAGTATGAATCACAAAAACCTTCAATTACACGTCTCCAATTCATCCACCCGGATGTAATTTCATGAAAGATGCATTCCTCTCCATTATATTGAAGTATAAACTCAAGATATCAAAAGTAAACTTATTTATATTTCTTAAACTGTCAATTTTAACTACTTTAAATTTACTCTTATTATTACTAAACTTACATTCTACACATTTTATATTAGCCCAACTAATATCGAAACCTTAATCCTCCCAAAATTCTATTCTCTCCTATCTCACCGATCAACCGATCAAAACTAGGTTGTGCACACACATGCATTATAGTATCTCTTGAGTACCTAGTTCAATCATCTTAAGCATGATCCCAATGTTAACCCTTAACAATCATCCATAACTAAGAAGTATAATTTCAAACCCTTGATATGGATCTATTGGCACTAAAAACTCATTCATCCCTCCACTCTAATTGATCCTGTACGCTCTCACGCAATATATAATATTCTCCAAAACCGTACCTATTTCAAAACACATCTACATAGACATCCCCGCCACATTTAATTCATCTCAATATTAATTAACCAAAGGGATGAGAACCAACACATTAAATGCTTCATTCCTTTCATCAAAAGCACTGTTGTCTGAAAGGCAGTAAAAAAAAGCGAGAGAGAGAGAGAGAGAGAGGAGCACCCTACCAATCCTTTGCCGAACCCAGCCAGCTAACCCAGCTAAAGGGTTTTCAATTTTTCTCCTACGACTCTTTCAAAACATAATAATGGGAATAATGAGAATTTTACAAAAAGGACGACCCACACCAATGATGGCGTGAGGATCTTATTCTTTCCCTCCTTTGCAACCAATTTCCTCAATATCCATACCCTGAAAAACAGAAAACAAAGTAACAACAATCAAGAACCATGATCTCCAACTCAAGCTCCAAGTTGGGTCTCTCTCTCACAAACACAAAAAGCCCACATCAACACACACACACGGCTCGCAAACCCAGGTTGGGGCCCTCCCTCCCTCCCTCTCTCTCCCTCTATAAACCCACAATTTGGCCCCCAACACAAGTCTCTCTAACCCAAGTTATCCTTCCCCCGACCGAGTCTTCCTCCCATCAAACCCAACTCTCTCTCTCTC